GGGGGAGACCGAGGAGGAGTCTTCGAGCGAGGGTTCAAAGGATGATGATGTCATCGAGTTGCGAGCCGGACATTTGACGCCTCTCCCCGCCAGCTCTGGTTTGTCACCCTGCTGACGTGCATGTTCGTTTATGTGTTTTCCGTGTGAAGTGCTTACTAACTTGTCTTGGTGTAGGTATGGCTCCCCGTCGTTCTGCCATCATGAACCTCGTTGAGAGTCTGCGGAGCCGTGGCGGCGAGGACCCCAAGCGCCTCAAGACTGGCGAGACTAGCCATGCTTCCTCGGGCGTCCGGGCCCCCCAGGTACCCGGGTGTCGCGCCAACGTGAGAGAGGTCCGCCATCGACGTGGACCGCCTTTCGGACGGTCGGCCGGCCGACCCCCCTACTCGAGCTCCGGTGACCACGGCGCTGCCTCAGGGTACCTTGACTGAGTGGTCCGTCCATCTCCCTCCTACGGCCTCGATACTTTGTGGGGATGTCCCTCCGGAGGCCTTTCTGCGCAGCCTCCGCCTGTCCCGCGACGTGGCGATGCACGAGGAATACGCCATCTTCTGCCTTTTGCTAGAGGTACGTACTACTTTCTTATGATTACATGTTGTGCTTCCTTGTTCCTTGCCATCTTGTCTTCCACTTATATTTGCCCTTGTGTAGACGGTTGCCCGTGCCGTGACCATGGAGGAGGTCCTAGGGAGTACCCGCGGTCAGTTGGAGGCCGAGACGCGGGCTCGCCAGGCCGTGAGCGACAAGCTTGTGGCGCTGGAGGGTCAGCATGCTGAGTTGATCGCCAGCTGGTCGCGGGAGCGTGCGGTGCACCAAGAGGCCCTGAAGGCGCACCAGGAGGCTGCAAGGGTGGCTGTCTCGAGCTACAAGGACTCCGAAGCCTTTGTCAGGGACGCGAAGGCCTACCTTTCCGAGCACCCGCAGGAGACCCTAGATGATCTTATGAGTTTCCCCGAGGGGAGTGAGTGTGTGACTTTGCAGGGGTTGGCGATGTACGAGGCGGGGGAGTGTTCCATGCAGAGCAAGATCTACTCCATCCTTCGTGCGAGAGATGCATCCTTCGACCCCGTGGCGTGGGGCCTACCCGAGGAGTTGGAGGAGAAGCCAGGTGACCTCATGGATATGGTGGAGGGAGAGGGTGGACCGATCCCCCCCCCCACCCCCCCCCCCCCCCCCCCCGCTGGACTCGTCGGCCGACCGCTCGTCGAGTGCGGACTTCGCGGCTGACCTCCTTCGCTTTGCAGGCGTGGATGCCCCCCCGGAGAAGACTCAGGCTGACTTGTCTGGCAGAGACGGTGCCCACGAGACTATGCGGCCTTGATGTCCTTTAGAGTTGGCAACCCCTTATCTTCATTTAGTTGTATGCACCGACTATCTCCTTTATTTGCTTAGACATGTGTTATCTTGTTGCACGGGTTGCCACTCAGATGTTCCTTTTTGTTTGCATTAGACTGTTGGCTTCGCCATGACATTGTTTGCTATGACATTGCTCGTTTATTTCGCCTTATACTTCTGTCTGCTTTACTTATTACTCGCGTGTTTTGTCTTGATTGTTCCTCGGCGTGGCTTGCTTTGTACCCAAAGGTATTCCCGTGGGCCTCCAGGCCTGCCAACGTGAGATTAGCCGACTCGCCTACACAAGACTAGTCGGCCCGCTAACGCGAGACTGGCCGACCTCACGAGGTAAGTCGGCCGACCCCTCGCGGGTCGCCATGGCCTTCACCTGGCCGACCTCACTCCAGGCACTTGCCCCTCATTGTTGCGCTATCCGTCTGGCGATGAGCGAGGTCGGACCTCGTATCGCTCCTAGGATGTTAAGGTTGCGTTGCGCCCGTCCGGCGATAGGTGAGGTCGGACCTCATACCGCCCCTAGGACGCTTTAGCGATTCTTGGGATGGAGTCTCTTGACTCGCACCCCGAATCCTTCCGTTCGGTGGTAGGCGAGGTCGGACCTCGTACCACCCCTAGGGTGTTAAGATTGCGTTACGCCCGTCCGGCGATAGGCGAGGTTGGACCTCGTACTACCCCTAGGACGTCCTAGCGATCTTGGGATGGAGTCTCTTGACTCGCACCCTGAATCCTTCCGTTCGGCGGTAGGCGAGGTCGGACCTCGTACCACCCCTAGAGTGTTCAGATTGCGTTACGCTCGTCCGGCGATAGGCGAGGTCGGACCTCGTACTGCCCCTAGGACGTCTTAGCGATTCTAGGGATGGAGTCTCTTGACTCGCACCTCGAATCCTTTCGTTCGGTGGCAGGCGAGGTTGGACCTCGTACCGCCCCTAGGGCGCGCGTTATGTCCAAGTTGGCGGTCGGGGTCACTGCACACGCAACCGCCATGCCCGGTCTCTCCGGTGTGGCCGACCTTATGTTGGGCGACCTCGGGTTGGCCGACCTCTGCGTCGGCCGACCCCATGTCGGCCGTCCTCGAGCAGGCCTTGCGGTGCCCGAGTACCCAAATCTTTGCGTACCCGTGGACGTCCCCAACCCGAGGTAGGATAATTGCTCAACAAAATCATTATTTCATTGCGAATGAAAACAACATTATTGTGAGGAGCCGGCCTGTTATTGGGGATGGGGCAGGCCGTACAAATGAGTTTCTACTGGTAAAATTTTAGCAAGTGCTCCGAGTTCCATACCCTGTCCACCGTCTTGCCCGACGGGGTCATCAACTTGTAGCTGCACGGGCGTACTATGGCTTCAATCACATATGGTCCTTCCCATTTCTTAACAAATTTGCCTCCGTCCTGGGGTCGGCTTGCCTCCCTCCTCCAGAGGACGTAATCGCCAACCTAGAAGTAGTGGGGTCGGACTCTGTTGTCGTGGTAAGCCTTTGTTTGACGCTGGTAATTCTCCGCACAGACCATGGCGTCCTCCCTCTTGTCGTCGATGAGGTGGAGGTCGGCGGCGTGGTGTTCCTCATTGAGGTCGAGGTCGTACACCGCGACCCGATAGGATGGTGTCGCGGCTTCGGTGGGGGCCCGTGCTTCGAACCTGTATGCCAGTGCGAACGGTCTCCCCGGTGGCCCTTCTTGGGGTGGTGCGGTATGCCCATAGGACGGTGTCCAGCTCCTCCACCCATGTTCCTCCGGCTGCGTCTAGGTTCTTTTTTATGCCGTCCACTATAGTTCTTTTGGCGTTTTCCACCTGTCCGTTTGCCTGTGGGTATGCCACCGCCACGCGGGTGTGTTTTATGTACCATTGGTCCCAGAACGCCTTAAATTCTTTGCTCTCAAACTGACGCCCGTTGTCGGAGATGATTTCCATGGGGACCCCAAAAGGTACAAAATGTTCCTGCGTATGAACTCCGTGCACCGGGTGCTTGTTATAGGGGCAAGGGGCTCCGCCTCGACCCACTTTGTAAAATAATCTATGGCGACTATTATGTACTTCCTCTTCGCGGACCCCATGGGTAGGGCCCCGACGATGTCGATCCCCCACCGTGAGAACGGGATCACCGTGCTGATGGGCGTGTAGCTGGTTGCTGGTCAACCCAGCTCTGCGTGGAAGTGCTGGCAGGTCGGGCACCCCCTGGTGTACTCCGCGCACTCCTTGGCCATCTTTGGCCAAAAGTAGCCTTGTAATAGGGCCCTCCTCGCCATGGCGAAAGCTCCTTGGTGTGCTGCGCAGGTGCCCTCATGTATCTCCTCTTTGAAGGACTTGGTTTCGTCTGGGTATAAACATCGTAGGAGGGCGCCGTTGTAAGACCTTTTGTAAAGGGTGTCGCTAAGGAGAACGTATGTTAGTGACCTCCTCTTGACTGCCTTGGCGTCTGCCTCGTCTGCTGGCAGGGTACCCGTTCTTTTGTATTCCACCAGGTGGTTTAACCAACATGGGGGCCGAGCTTGTATGGGGAGGACTGGGTAGGCCTCCAAGCTGGACCTCTGGAGGCCTTCAATCCGTGCTATTTTAGAGACATGTTCCGGGGTGCCGAGGCCGAGTTTGGAGAGTAGATCCGCGTCCCCATTTTGACTTCGGGGTACCTGCAAAATTTCGTAGAGGGTCAAGTGACCTAGGACCTAGAGTACCGCGTCGCGGTATCTCCTCATCCTCGATCTCTTCGTTGGCTTCGAATTCGGCGTCTACCTGTCCGACCACCAGCCGGGAGTCGCACCGCACCCATATTTTGGAAGCCCTCAGACCCAGCGCGAGCCTGAGGCCGCCCAGTAGTGCCTCGTACTCGGCCTCGTTATTGGACAGCTTGAAGTGGAAACAAAGGGCGTAGTAGGCCCGGAACCCTTCCAGGGTTACGAGGACCACCCCTCTGCCACACCCCTTGGGGCCGGACGAACCATCCATGGACAGGGTCCACCAATCTTCCTCATCGCTCCGGGCTAGCTCGGTGGCCTCTCGGGCAGTGCACTCGACTATGAAGTCGGCGAGTGTTTGCCCCTTGATTGCGGGTCGGGGCTTGAACTGGACGTCGTATTGGCTCAGCCGCATGGACCACTTGACCAACCTGCTTGCCGACCCCGAGGCCCTTAGTACCACCTCGAGGGGTTGGTTGGTGAGGACCCGTACGGGGTGTGCTTGGAAGTAATGGCCGAGCTTCTTGGCCGTGGTGTTCACAGCGAAGATCGTTTTTTACGTTGGTGAGTACCTGAGCTCGGCGCCTCGGAGGGCTCTGCTCACGTAGTACACCGGGCGTTGGGTCCCCGCGTCATCCTGGACTAGTACGGAACTGATCGCGACTTGCGAGATGCCCAAGTACAGATACAAAGCCTCCCCTTTCTCCGGTTTGGCTAGGCGGGGTAGTGACATGAGGTACGTCTTGAGGTCTTCGAAGGCTCTCTGGCATTCGTCCGACCATTCGAACCCCTGGGTTTTCTTGAGGACCCTGAAGAATGGCAGGGACCTCTCGGCCGACCTTGAGAGGAATCGACTGAGGGCCGCCAGCCGACCATTGAGGCGCTGGACCTCGCGGATGGACCTCGGGGGTTCCGTCTCCAGGATGGCCTTTACTTTCTCGGGGTTGGGCTCAATACCCCTTTTTGAGACCATATACCCCAAGAACTTCCCTCCGTTTACCGCGAAAGTGCACTTTTTGGGGTTCAAACGTAAATCAAATTGCCTCATAATGGAAAATACCTCGGTCAAGTCGGCCGTGTGGAGGTCGGCCTCCGTGCTTTTCACAATCATGTCATCGATGTAGGCTTGCAAGTTCTGGCCGAGGACCTTCTTGAACACCTTGGCCACCATCCTTGTGTATGTGGCTCCCGAGTTCTTGAGCCCGAATGTCATGACCCAGTAGCAAAAGACCCCTTCGGGGGTGGTGAAAACCGTTTTTTCTTCATCGTCCTCGTGCATGAAAATTTGGTGGTACCCCCGAAAGGCGTCTAAGAAGCTCATGAGTGCGCATCCCGCCATCTCGTCTACCAGCTGGTCTATGTTGGGCAGCGGGAAGGGGTCCATGGGGCATGCCTTGTTGAGGTCTGTGTAGTCCACGCACATCCTCCACGTAAGTGGTTTAGGTGCAAGGACTACGTTCGCAAGCCATGCCGGGTATATGATCTCCCTTATGTGCCCGATCTCGATGAGGGTGTTGACCTCCTTCTTCACAAATTCTCGTCTATCTGCAGAGAGGTAGCGCTTCTGTTGTTGGACCGGCTTGGCTTGGGGGTCCACCGCCAGTTTGTGCGTGATAACCTCCCGGTTGAGGCCAAGCATGTCCTCGGGACCCCAGGCGAACACGTCCTTGTAGCTGCGGATGACCTCCACAATTCGACCTCGGAGGTCGGGCAGGAGGCCTGTGCCCACCTTCACCGTTCTGTCGGGTCGGCTGAGGTCCAGAATGACCTCTTCTGTCTCCACCACGAGTTCGGCGCGGGGCCGCTTCTCCTCCTCCCGAAGTGCCTTCTCGGTTACTGTGTGTATCTGGAGGTCCTTCTACGTTATTTGGCGGCAGGCCTTCAAGTAGCAGCTCCGGCTGATTTTCTGGTATCCTTGCGCGACACCCACTCCAGTGGGGATAGGGAACTTGAGGCAAAGGTGCTCCATGGAGATGATGCACCTAAGGTTCTCTAGGGCAAGTCGACCGAGGATGATGTTGTGGGCGCAACTGATCTTTACAACCACGAACTCCACCTCCCACTTCTTTACGTGCGGCGGGATGCCGATCTGCACCTCGAGGGTGATGGAGCCCTCTGTCTCAATGGAGTCCCTGGTGAAGCCAGATAGCGGGTCCGTACCTAGGAGAGCTGTTTCCTGGATAGTCCTAGCTGCGTGAAGGTGTCATAATACATGACGTTCACGGGGCTCTCCGTATTGACCAGTACTCGGTGGACAATGATGTCTTTGAGTTCCAACTTGGTTACCAATGTGTCTCGGTGGGGCAAGGGGCCATCCGAGAGGTCGTCGTCAGTGAACGTTATAGGCTCCCTGCGTGTCCTCTTCACGTGGGGTGCTCGGACGACCTTCCCAATGTACAGGCTCCGCGCCCACCTCTTCCTCTCGACAGGCGTGTCTCCTCCTTCTGGGCTGCCAAAGATGACGTGGATGACTTTCTTCTTTGGTGGGCTGTCTGGCTTGGTCTCCTCGTCCTCCGTGAGTTAGCCGAGCTCCCTCTTACGCGAGGCAGAGGTGGATGGCCCAGCGCCATCCTTCTTCTTCCGGGCGTTGTCGGGGCCTTTAGCATGGTCCTGCCCGGATCTCTTCACATACTGGCTTAGGTATCCCCGTTGGATGAGCTCTTCGATCTGTCTCTTGAGGACCATACATTCGTAGGTGTCATGCCCACGCTGCCGATGGAAACGGCAGTACTTCTTCGGGTCGGCCTTGGGGGAGATCTTTAAACACTCCTTGGGGAACGACACGATGCCCATGTCCTCCGCATGGTCCAGAATGATGCTCACGGGTTATGTCAACGGGGTCAGGTGTCGTAGAGGGGCTAGCCGGGGGCTCGATCACGGCGTGACCGCGGTGGGCGGCGGTCCTCTTGAGGTTAAGGTGCCTTGTCACCCCGGCCACGGCCTTCCTCCTCCTCCCTCTTCCTCTTCTCTGCCACCTCGGCATTGGCATACCGCGCGGTGCGGTCCATCAATTCTGTGTACGTTTTTGGCTCATTCCGGATGAGGTCGCTGTGAAAAGGGCCCGACCTGAGGTTGTTGGTGAAAAATGGGATGGCAGACCTTTCGTCAAAATTCGTCACCCCCATGGCCTCCTTCTTCCACTTACTCAGGTACTCTGCCAGGGTCTCCGACTTGTGCTGCTTCAGGTAACACAGGTCGGCGAACTGCTTCCTCCGTTGTATGCTGCCCGCAAAGTGTGACATGAACTTCTTAGCCAGGACAGCAAAAGTGGGGATGGAGTCTCCCGACAAGGACCCGAACCAATCTTGGGCTTGCCCATCCAGAGTCATGCAGAAGCCGCGACACATGATTGCATCATTGACGCCAGTCATCATCATGACTGCCTTGTACCTGTTGAGATGGTCCCGCGGGTCCCTTGCCCCTGTGTAGGGTTTGATGGCCGGAAATCGGAAGTCCCGAGGCAGGGCTCGGCCATGATGTCCCTCGTGAAAGGCGTGGCCAGGGCGTCCCGAGGCTCCAGTGACTCGTTGTGCGCCTCCATCTTGTGCTGCAACTCGCGCATCTGCCGGCGCAATTGCTCCATCTCATCGCGCTGGGAGCTTGGAGGTCGGCCTCGTGTCTCACCCGAGCGCTCCACTGGTGGGGTCGGTTCCCGTGGCCCCGGAACACGAGGTTCTTCGCTCCGGGACCTCCGCGAACACAACGACTCCGCCGGTCTGGCATCTGCGGGCGGTCTCGCGCCGACACACGCGGGCCCAACTGCCCGAGCGCGGATGTGGCCCGAGTCGGCCGATTCCTCCTCTCGTCCTGTTGCTCGTGCCGACCTCGGCTGGCCTCCGCCTCTTCTCGTCTCTCGGATGGTCGCGGTGAGTTGACTTCCCCATCGGCCGGCGTCGCGGGCGCCTAGGTCGCTTAAGTGCTGGGACCACCGTGCTCCCTCGGAGGGGGTGGAGGTTGAGGTGCTGGGGCACCCCGTCGTGACGCGGTTGAGCGCGGTCGACGCCTGCTCGAGTGCGGCGGCCTCCTCTTGGGGAGTCGGGACCGGTGGTGGGGCGGGTGGCGTCGTCCCACTGAGCGGGCGATTGTTGGTAAGCCGACCCCGGAGGTCTTCCGCCGCCCCCCGCAGACTCCCGTCGATCTGATCTCGAAGGTCTCATCCCGCCACCACGGGCACGGTCTGTCGGCTTGTCGTGGCCCTGTTAGGGTGGTTGACGAGGGAGAGGTCGCGTGTGTTGCGTGAACCATGCGAGTTGTGGGTGTTCGACCCGGATCTTGTCATCGCTGCGGATGAAGGATAATAGGGAGAGCGCTCAAGCTTGTACAGCCGCTCTCAACAAGAGCATCAATGATGGATTATATGAACCTGGGGGGGCGGATTATACAACCCGAATATATGATTGAATATGACGAACGAATAATAGAATGATAAATATTATATTAATTGAGCATAAAATGCTATTACAGAGGTTCGGGACGTGTAATAATGTTACAAGTATTGTCTGAAGGTAGGAGATGCTTGATTAGGACACCGGGGGGGTGTTTATATACTCCACGGCCGCTACTGGCCCTGGGCCCGCGGGAGGAGCCGCGGCCCGTGTCGCGAGACTCACTCCACGCGAGGACCCAGCCTTTGGCCGAGCACGGAGCTCGGCCAACGTCGACCCCCCGTTGGGCCGACCCCGGGGCGGTTCGCCATGCGTCGCGGGTGGGCGCGGGGTCCGACCCAGTCTGTGTTGTTTTGCTCCGATCCTGCTCCGTGATTATTCCATCAAATATTAATATTGTACATTCAATCAGTTTGCAATAATTTATGCATGTTGTTTGAATACGTAATTGCAACAATGTATGTGTTTAAGCTAGAAACGAACGACTATAAACCCTAGGTAGAAAATGTACTTCATGCATGTTGTTTGAAGTTCTAATAGCAATGGGTGTCTGTTTAATGAAAATATTACCTTAGGAAACATTGTGATCGGTGCAGGAATAGAGTCGGAAGTGACTGCTTTCTTTATTGTAGCAGCGGAGTTGCAGATGAAACAATGGAGACGAAGAAGCTTTGCGTGAAGGAAGAAAGGCTGAAGGTCGGTTTTTCAATCTTTCATATTTTTTTAAAAGAAAAAAAAAAATAATGCGCGACACCGTCGCGCATTTAACGTCACTGTCTCTTCTTAAATGAAGAGACGACGTCGTTTAGGACCGTGGTCCACACAACTGTGTGGACAACGATTCATGAAATAAGCATTAAATATATCAACTACTAATACATAATTTTTAGATCAGAGTTTATAATACAAGATGGACTATGGTCCATGGTATAACAATTGTCAAGGGAATGCCTCGTTGACTTTGTACAATTTTATGCATTAATAAATTTACCTTTGCAAAATAAAAAAAAAAACATATAAGAAAACAATTTGATATGGCCCAACACTTTGTTACTGGCAAATTATGTTGTGCATGGTGCACACGGTTGCAAAAATGACGTCGTTTTACTTTTAAAGAACAATTATTTTCGATTGCCGTTAATTACGTAAACATATGTTCATAATTTTATAATTTCACATTCTGAATGTATAGTTATTAAGTTATGGATGTGTAGTTATGCATACAATTCTGAATGTATAGTTATGAAGTTATAATTTCACATTCTGAATGTATAGTTATGAAGTTATGGATGTGTAATTATACAATTCTGAATATATAGTTATGAAGTTATGGATGTGTAGTTATGCATGCAATTCTGAATGTATAGTTATGAAGTTATGGATGTGTAGTTATATATGCAATTCCGAATGTATAGTTATGAAGTTATGGATGTGTAGTTATGCAATTCTGAATGTATAGTTATGAAGTTATGGATGTGTAGTTATGCAATTCTGAATGTATAGTTATGAAGTTATGGATGTGTAGTTACACAATTCTGAATGTATAGTTATGAAGTTATGGATGTATAGTTCAAATTATGCACAACATAACGCTGTTAACGACAATCGAAACTGATTTTTTTAAAAGTTGGATATCAAAACGACGTCGTTTTTACAACTGTGTGCACCATGCATGGTGCACACGGTTGCATAGCGGCTTTGTTACCGGTACTGCAATACATAGGGTGTTTGATAAACAATTAATCAATTAATTTTTAGCTAATTTGATCAACTTTAATTGTTTGACTTGGTCAAAGAATTAAAATTAATGTTTGGCTTAATTGCTTAATGTAAATGTTCTAAAAATGAAAATGATGGTCGGAGTAGCATTTTGATATTTGTTGATTGTATTTCTTTGTTAAAAGTGTAATTTGCCCATGAAAACCCCTAAAATTCCTTATTTATAATTATGACATTAACAACAACAACAACAATTGTTAAAACAATAAACAACAATAACAACAACAATTTTTAAAATAATTTATTTTAAATTTTATACCTAAAAGTAAAAATTATTTATGGATCATAAATAAATCTAACAATATACTTATATATATATATATATATATATATATATATATATATATATATATATATATATATATATACACATACACACACACACACATACACACACACTAATAAGAGCCCAAGAGAGTTAGGCCTATATAATAGATAGAAAAAATGGCGGTCAAATTTTTTAATCAAAAGAATGACTCAAATTGATCAGATTTTAATTTTTCCTTGAGATTTCCTAATTTATCCTTAATGAATATGATTATCCGTTAACTTTTCCGTTAAATATTATATTTTTCGTTAATTTCTGTTAGTTCACCGTTAACTTATTCATTGATTTCAATAAGAAAAGTCTTAGGTTTGAATCACATCCCAATCAAAGTTCATATTTAGTAGTTTAGTACTCTATTTTACTCTTATTAAATTAAATAAAATAATAAGAGAAATAATTTTATTAGTTATATTGTCTTTATTTTTCTCCAATATAAAAATTCTTTAAATAAAATTCAAATTCATCAATATTATATTCGCTACATTGTCCCTACAATGTCTTTATTAAAAAAAATTTCATTATCAATAAATTAATTAAAAGAAATAATTTCATTAGTTATGTTGTCTTTATTTTTCTCCAATGTAAAAATTCTTTACATTCAAATTCATCAATTGATTATATTCACTACATTGTCTATTATCTTTTTTGTGCACTATTTTTTAATTAAATATCAAAGTTATAATACAAAATAATGCTATATATTTATTTACCAAGTATTTTATTAATACCATGAAAAAATTTAAAAAATTTAAATTAATAAAGCCAATTATATTAACTACTTGAGGGATTTGTTTACAAAGAGAGTATTCAAATCACACAACAAATTGAAGTGAGAAACTACCTCGCAATGTCCTTGTTTGACAACCAGCAGTAATCGGTTAGCGTTAGCGGATTATATTAGCGAATTTGACCAACGAATTATATCAACGGTTGGTAAAAAGATATTTGAAAAGATAAGCTGTTTAAATTAACATTTAAAATGACCTAAGGGTATAATAATAATAATAATAATAATAATAATAATAATAATAATAATAATAATAATAATAATAATAATAATAATAATTGTTTTAATAATACTTTTTAAAAAATATATATAGATATGTTTTGGAGAAATCATTCTAAAAAAACGTTATGAAATATTGTAAATTGCAATATTTGTATTTTCAGTGGTTTGGAACAAATTGTTGTTTCAAACTGTTGAATAACTAAAACACTTTCTTTAACATTTTATCTTTCGGTTATATCATATTTACCAATCGTCGAATATCTTTGGGTTACATTATAATTAAATTTTTTTTAATTTTTACTACAACTAAATTCCTTAAATTAAGAATTTTTTTGTCCATAATAATTTATTCAACAATAATGGTTGATTTTAATGAATACTGAGTAAAACACCTAAAAGACTGGTACCGTTGATTCATTCATTGATCTTGTATATATGTGCATTCATTAAATATATTAGAACCCTTTGCAACAAAAATATTTGGTTACTATTTAAAAAAAAAAAAGTTTAGTAACAATTATAATGAATCTCCTATATTACATTGTATTCATATACTATGAATTACATATTTAAATAAACAATTTAGACATTAAATTACTTATGTTGAACTTCTCATATATAAACTTGCATTTATATACTTTCAAATATTTATTTAATTATAAACATTGGGTAGAAAAAATGACAGTCAAATTATTAAATCAAATGAATATTTCAGATTGTTCAGATTTTAAATTTTCCTTGAGATTTTCTAATTTATCCTTAATTATATGATTATCCGATCCGTTAACTTTTCCATTAGTGCTCATTTTCTAGAAAATGAACCAAACAAACAAAGACAGTTTTTCGTTGTGTAGCCAAACACCGGAAAGGGAAATGTTTTCTGGAAAATGACTAATTTTCCATAAAACATTTTCCAGAAAACATTTTCCGAGTTTCCAAACGCACCCTAAGTAACGTTAATTCACCATTATTCTAATTCTAATATTAAAATCTAGTATAGAATTATAACTACAACATTAATCTAATTCTAATATTAAACTATTAATAGAACTCTAACCACCGGAATCTCCTCAAACAATATTAGTATATATTTAATATTTTATGCTTTAATTTTTATTTGCTCTCCCTTATGTCCCGTATTTGTTTTCAACCATACCCATACATTTATTTTATTGACAATTATAAACAATCTTGACTATTATATGTTGCATTTGTAAACATAGAATTACCAATTTAAATACGCAAATTCAACATTCAATTATATACATGAACAATTCTAATATAATCTTGCCTTGATATACTTTAAAATACTTATTTAAAAAAAAATATTAGACATTATCTCAATCGCGCAATACACGTAAAAAACTAGTTATATTAGATAATTGACATCTTACAAACAATAGTTAGCAATTAATTTACCAAACACTTTTTTTTTTGTAAACCATTAATATTATTTGTTGGTCAAAGAAGCTAATATAATTTACTATGAGCTATTTGTTAATCGTCAAATTAAACAGCCTCAAGATACTTTATTTTCTATTTTAAGCAATTGTAATGGATGACTAACCATTACACAATAGTAATGGTGGTGAAGTAATAGGTGGGTGGTGGTTCAAAAAAGGTAGAAAAGTAGTAGTAGTGCATGAAAGATAATCATAGATAAGTAACGAATAATGAGAAGAGTAGGTAGGTGTAAATAGATAATTGTAGGGTGATGGACTGACGGGTGGGAATGGTGTTGGTTATTAGGACTCTATGTATGTGAGTCATCTATCACTCCTTATCTTAGTCTTCCTATGATTGACTGACTCTCTATTCTAGTCATAGACTGACTCAGATACATAGAGTCCTAATATTGGTAACATTAGTGGTGGAATGGAGATGGGTAGACAAACAATGGCAAGAGGAGCTGGTAAAACTGGGATAACTACATAAGTGATGGCAGGAGTAGATAGAAGTAGTAAAAAATTATTTAATTTTTGTATGTCGCTGGACTTGGACTTATCAATTGATAAAGCTAACCCTGGGAAGTGAAACTTTGGCACCCCAACACTGTGAACCCAGTTTCTTCCTAGTTCAGAATAGTTTTCATTAACCCTCAAAAAGATTTATGATTCTCAAGAATGCAGATGTACACTGGATACATCAAACGACCTGTATATTAACTAAAAGATATAAAGTCAGGAGTTATGCCATAAACTAATAAACATATCATAGAATTAGCAGAAATTAACAAAATGTTTAGAACTTGGTCTTCAACTGAAGTTCGGGCTCAGAGACATGTCAGCGATGCCTGAAATGATATCATCCAGTGATTGGTCATTCGCTCCTTGCTCTAAGGAGCGTTGAGCTATGGCTTTTTTCACCTGCCCTATGAGTTCATCTTCCTCATCTGGAATATCAAATTCCCAGACCTTGAAGATATTCTCAGCTGGTAGATCCTCCAGAAATGCTGGAAAATTCGAGTCCTTCTCAGGATCATCAGTAACAAATATCCTCTGGTTTTCATTGTATGTTGGAAGGAAAACATTCTCTGAGTCAAATTTTGAGCTGAAAGTATTGGCGCTCTCATTAATCTGCTGAGAATCAAATATGTTCCCCTCTTGTTCATTGCTCAAAAGAATCTGATCATAATCAATCATGTTCCCTGCTTGTTCATTGCTCAAACTAAATGGATAATAATCAACCATGTTCCCCTCTTGTTCATTGCTCAAACTAATCGGATAATAATCAATCATGTTCCCCTCTTGTTCATTGTTCAACATAATCTGATCATACCTAATTCTGTTCCGCTCCTCTTTTTCATTTTCGGGAGGAGGATTATAAGTAGTTGGCTTGTCCAGCATCAATGAACTTCTGCCTTTTCTACCAAAGAGGAAAATTTTTTCGTTAGCTGCTTCACAAAATTCACCCTTCTGATCCACAGAAGACTTCAGTTGGGAAGACTGAATATCTAATAAGGCAAATGCATTTCTGAAAGAATCCAAGTCGCCTTCTGATATTTCAGGATCTCCAATAAGACAGGAATCAGCCCAAGCTAGATCTTCTGCAGAATTGTCATCACCATTTCCTCTATAATTGAGGCGAGACGGAGGAACACTACCTTGCTTTCTGTAATCACCTAAATCCATAGCTAGGGTAATGCAAGGTTGCCCTGAAGCACAGATTACCCAATCAAGATTTCAAGAACCCATAGACACTTACAAATAAGAGAGTTTGCAATCACATAACAGTATAGCACCATCAGCAGACATCATCTATTCCTCTTATCACATAATATAAGTCTATTATTACCTTATAATATCAAACACAAATACACTCTATAATAACCAGTATCCTTGCTGAATACATACTGGAGAACAAATCACAATGTTCATAACGCCTCAAAACTGTAATTTTTTTTTTTGTTTTCTTATTAATTATTTTCTTCAAATTTAATTTCACCATCAACTAAGGATATAATTCAACTAAGACATCACTTAGTACACAATCACAATTACAACAGAACTGAAAAGCAATCTTCCATTGATCCTTGCCAAATTAAAGATAGCATCATTATATCAATGCCACGAAGAATTCAAGGGACATAAATTTCGACTAAAACTCAAACAAGTAGATAACCAGAGTCGATAGAGAAAGAGAAACGATATTAAAAGCAACCTCGATGAACAAACGTGTTCCCTTAAACAGATTACAGAATTTAGGGTAGAAATCAGTTTCATGATTCTAGTGTACATAGAAGAACAGGAGCATAAAACATCGAGCAAGGAAGATTTTAAAGTTTTACCTTACAATGAAGCCGAAAATTAGCGGTGATGAGTGCTAGAAATCGAAAATTATGGCAACAAAAAAGCGTAAGAGGAGATTGAATTGCAGTATAGGTAAGGTATTGGGATTTTATAAGTTTTTGGAGTCCGAACAAAGCTAAAATCAAAAGAGTAATGAGCTCCTAACCGTATTACGAAAGGATAATGGAGCTCCGACACAGTCGATCCACTTTGATTAATGGGTCGAATTGGGCGATGGCTATTTGGCAAAATATATGCAATCGTTATATCCTACACCACGGCGCACATAGCACTGTGCTCTGCGCGCCTCCCAAAACGACGTCATTTTGGGATAGTGTTGGGAGGCGCGGTAGGAAGTTGCTGAGATTATGTGTATTTGTTCACAACGTTATGTGTATTGGTTCATACAGTTATGTGTATTTTTTAAACAATTATGTACATTCTTTTTATACAATTATGTACATCCGAATCAGAAAATTTGTGTGTATTATGTTAAAAGTTTATGTTTATTATGTATTATGTTAGATTATGTGTATTATCTTTTAAAAAGAGTATGTATATTTTATTATATAATTATGTACATTCATGTATAACATTATGTGTATTCTAGTATAACATTATGTACATTCTTGAACAGCGGGTTTTTTTTTAAAGAAAAAACTACTGTCATTCACTGGGGCGGGAAATTTCAAAAAAAAAAATAATTAAAACGACGTCGTTTTGCATCTGGGCGCATAGTGCAACGCGCGCCGTGGTGTAGGATATAAATTGCCAAATATATGTGAGCACTGAGCGGTTATGCCACGGACTCGGGTCCATCTTACAAGAATGCAAGGTGAATAGAACTAAGTACACAATTTACATAATGAATGTTCACAATTTAAATTATGAACATTCAGTATGTAAATCGTAAACATTAAGTATATAAAATTGTGAGCATTCAAAAAAAAAAAAAAAATTGTGAGTATTCGGTATTTAAATTGTATAATATCTACTATACTAATTCGGTATTGAGCTGACCTCATCTAAATCGTCTCCTCGGCTAGACGCCGACCGGTCAAGTGACATTCTCCTGTTATTGTGTCGGCCTCGGCAGAGGGAAACCCGTAGGCTGGAGCCAGTCAAATGCGCTCGTGCAGGGTGCGTGCTCTCCAGTACGGTCGACCGAGCCCAAGCAAGATCTGACCGGTCGGCGTGGTGACACTTGCACTCCAAGATGGGCGGCCGACAGCGCTTGTGTAACACCCCACTTTTCTTAATCTTAAATTACAATCCTAAACCACAATTTATATAAACTAAGCAGTGGATAAACATCTTAATAAGAATACTCGTGGCCGGGAATGTCACCGCCACAACCACCATTCCATGGTGATTGCACAGGCTAAGGATGGAACTAGAATAATATAAGTAATATAACATTCATATTATTAGATCAAAAGTAAAGGGGGAAAACACCCCGATGTCTAAACATCAAATTTCATCAACAAACATAAGTCTACAAATTCGTCAAAATAAAACATCATAATAAAAGTACTAAGAGTTTAGACTACTAGACTAGTCTAACTCAATCATCTCTCAACCACTGGGCCCACCTGAAAGGGGTTTTACAAACAACACATAGACAAATAAGAAAACACCCGTTAGCACGAAGCTAAGTATAACCACACTCAACCCTGTAAAATACTACAGTATATACTTTGAAAAAACATTTGTTCACAAACTCTAATCAAGCAATCTCAACACTTAGACAACTTTAAGATACATCACAGACTTTCTATATGCTTGCAACCTATAATATCAACAGGCATGCTTCAAATATAAATAACTCATCAACATAAATACACCAACACATTTCTCATAACAAATCTCATCATAACGAACTCATGCTATCAATCAATCTCATACTAACAACCAATACGAAATTATCTTCATGCTTTCAAGTTCTCATCACGCAAACTGGATATATATAAGACATCAAAATGCAACTAAGGCAATTATGCTCAATATATAAACTCGGTTAGTCATTCTCGTATGAAAACTAGTGCAATACTATACTCAAATGCAACCTCGTGCAATACTATACTCAAATGCAACCTCGTGCAATACTATACTCAAATGCAATCTCGTGCAAACATTCTCATTATGCAATCTCGTGCTATACCATAAGTATACTCATACACTCGTTTATAAAAATAGAGTACTTTTCTGTGGAGGTTTCTTAGAGTCACAATGACTCGCTCTCTATCTCTTGAGTCTCTTGACTCGATTTCTTTCTTGCTCAAACTTTCTCATACTTCTCATTTCTCTTCATGTGCGAGGCAAGTACTCCGCCGCAGCGAAGCCCTAGCGTATGGTGCAATCTCGTGCATCCGCCACATTTGTAACTACGGAACCTCTAAGTCGTGAGGAGGTAGGTCTTCACGAATCGTGAATGGACCTAATCGGCTCGGCAATCTGGCCGGCCACATACTCAACTCGCCCACAGAACCACTCTCTTGGTTCTTTCTTTCTTTCTTGCTTTCTCTATGGAATCAGGTATCGTACTTTTAGTGTGCACACCCCCTAACTAGGATTCCAAGCCTGGCGAGCAGTCTCCAACCTCGTAACGTGGGAGTACACCGCGTTACATGATAAATCTGTCGGATCGCAATATCCGTTACTTTCTCTTTTACTCCGAAAGGACATAGTCCCAACGTTCCTCCAAAACCTCACTGATATAGATAATATATAAATATATCGCTCATGCACCAATCTCATGCATGTCATATCTCAACAACTTCTCAATGCATCAAATAATGATATACCACATGCTCATGAATTTTGAAAGTAATACTTAGGCTCACGTTGGCCACTTATGCACTTTTAAAACATGCTATACTTGAAATGCCAAAATGCAATACAACGTGCTTCAACTCCATATATATATCATAGAATTTCTCAAGAATACAATATCATGCTCGGTTTGCAAAATATCAAACTCTATATATTTCTACCATCAAATATACTTCAAATCTCATTGATCAAACAATACATTCTAGTCATGCTTTTCTAATAAATCTTATTCTCAAAGTGATTATGCTTCTCTACTCAATACATAAATAACATCAGGGCAACAAAGCAAAGCAATTCTTATTACAGTGATCTTAAACAAACATACTGTGAAGCAATTTCATCAATAAATCCATCATAACATGCTCATTTCTAATCCAAATTCAACAAAATCAAAGCCAAAACGTGCGTTGAGACAACCCCGAGGTACCGAGCCACAAGGGCCCGTGACACGTGGCCCAAAACGACACGTAGTTGAGCCACAAGGGCCCGCCCACTACACAGAATCAACTCAGCGACCAAGGGACGGGGCTCCTCACAACCTGCCCCCCTCAAGCCGCCACATTGCCGGGCCTAGGCAACGGCCCTCTCCTAGGGTCGTGCCCTAGGCCCGGCTGTCCAGGGCTCTAGGCAACGGTCCCCTTGATGGGCCGTTGGCTAGGGCCATTACATATATCTGATGCACACTGTCTATGCACCAGAAGATCCATTTCATCTGCAATTCAATTTCAAGCAATTCCAACACATCCAAAACACTATCAACACATCATAGACAAGTTCTAGATCACTTCCTAGCTCAAGCACAACAAAAATCTATCATTTCTACTCAAGAAACTAGGCTTCATAGAGCCAAAATTGAAGAGGGAGTCCATGGGGTTATACCTCAACTTATTCTTCCTCTTCCTTGTGTGGTTCCCTTTCCTTCTTCAGATGACACCTTCTAGACTCCTCATACAACCATACAAACCAAACCTAGAGATAGAACTTCAGAGATTTAAACAAAGGAAAATGAAACCTTAAAGGAAGATGAAGGAATGGATGAAAATGCTTACTGTGTTGTTCTTCTTCTACTTGGCAGACAAGAATTTGGGGAAGGCAAAGAAGAGATCAGGAAAAAACAATGTAGCTAAGGAGATATTTTATAGGGTCCAAAACCCTAGGATAAATGTCAATGATTGGTTGAGGGCAAAGTGGTCATTTGGCTTGACTCCTTAAAATATCAGACAATGAAGGTGGAGTCTAGTGGTTCACCAAGCATCATGGACCAAAGTCTAGAATCATAGTTTAAAATAGTTTTGGGGTCAAAATTCATTTTTCCAAAGATGATTTCTAAACAAACACTTGTTTCAGATTCCTCCCAGTCTCACTCAGATTGGTTTCTCATTTTAAAAAAACTTGGTACGCGAAGTACCCGAAAATTTAGGATTTTGGAATTAAAATAAGTTTTGGTGTTGAATTAATTTAAAAAATACTCAAAATAATTTATTCAAATATCAATTTATCGCAAAATTTTTTAATGGAGCGAAAATGGCTACTTTGGAATTTCTAAAAATTGGATTTATAAAATTAAATTTTGGGTTGTCACAGCTTGTATCGACTGCGCTCGACCGATCCCCAGTTCAGTTAACCCGGGGCCGAAGGCTGGGTCGGCGGCCGGGTAGTTGTGGACGGGAGTGTACATCTGTGGTGGGTACATCCCAGGCACTGGCGGTGGTGGATACGCCAAGGCATAAAACCGTGTGGCACCTGCCCACCACTGGTAAGCTGGGTCAACCATCCCTGAATGCACTCCGGGGGCTTGATAAGTGGGATGCGCTGGTATGTCCCTATACGCTGGTTCCTGTTGTACGACATTAACCTGCTCAGGTTGCTAGAACGCTTCGTCTGGTGGTTGATTGAGATCCACCCGAGCATTCAGGTGCGTTCGCAGGTCCGGGCGAGCGTCGTCAGCGTCTTCGCTGTTGAGGAAATCCATGAAGGGATGTATGGTTTGAGGATCGGTAGGAGTATGTGAACTTCTTGTACCGTTCCCCACAAACAGTGCCAAATGATGTGGATTAAATCATTGTAGTCGTGCACAGTACAATGGCAGGTTGACGGGTTTGATAACGTGACCGGGAACCTCTTAATTATAGTGTTTCTAGTAGGTGAAAAATCCATCTCTAAGGTAATAAATGAAGTATTTATAGAGGGCATAGGGAACAATGTCCGATCTTCCGGCATGGCGGGCACGTGGCGTCCATGCACCGGGTCCTAAGGAGGCAGGCGTGCAGCCAAACACGTGGCCTGAAGCTTCTACCGGTAGCTAGGTCCACAACCCAGTGGGGACGAGCTGTGTACTCCTTCGGTCACTCCTCTCGGTCATCGATTCTGCCCTGATCGACTACCGGACCAACCGAATGCTGACCAGTTGACCGGGAGGCCAGGTGGAGGCTGAAGCACGCCGGTGACCAGGCTAAAGGACTGACCGAGCGTGGCCTACATTATTCTGCCTACATTGTTGTCAGTACATGCAGGGTATATTCCTCATCAATAATATTCTACATCATCAATAGTAAATGCATATTTTAAACAATAGTAAAGGTAAATTAAAATGGAACGGAAATATTTCAATAATAACGTCTACATCATCAATTAAAAATGGAACGAAAATTAGGTAAAAATATCACTGCATTTAATATTCTAATTTTTTTTGAAAACCCATTTGATATTCTAATTTATTGAAAATAAAAAAGAATAATTGGTTGAAAATGAATATGATATTACTAATCATTTACTGAAAATATAAAATGAACACTAATTGAGTGATATTCTACCGTTATGTATTTTCACCCGAGTAATCCGTCCCGATGAATTGAAGGTGTTAGCTCTAGACGAGGATGGACAAGATTGTGTTGTCACTACCAATGTCGCCTACAAAGAGGTTTCAATAATGTGTAAATATATCGGTGATATTATGTTTTTTTTTTAATGGAAAAATTGCTATATATCTAGACAAAAAATATATATTTCATACAAATGAATTAGGATAACAATTCATTCCTATAACTAGGTTGTTAGAGAACGAGCACATTTACCTAGCTAATTTATGAAAATACTAAACAATGATAAATAAAATCTTCAAAGTTATAGCACCGCATGCGTACATCTAGACATTAGCTATTAATTTGAACAATTATTTGCACAAATTCAGGCAATGATAATATCAAAAACATAAACAATCCAAACCATATCTTTAATTGCACTATATAATATTTGATGTTCTAATTTAAATAATTATATATCGATTTAAATATTCTTAATATATTACAATAAATCTATTATGTGCGTCGCACGTGTGAAAATACTAGTTGAATTAAAAAATAACTTCAGTTAAACCTTGTTAACCGAATCAGACACATAAAATGAGATGGAGCAAGTAATTTATTTTTTTAATATAAATAAAATTTTCTCCATATGAATATAAATATTACGATAATAATTAATCATTTGCAAATGTGTAGTCTTCATTCATACCCCTTATTTAATACTCCGTAGTAAATTGTTTAAATTTTTCTCAATATGAATATAAATAGTAAACTGTTTAAACATATATACTTATAATTGTTGTAAATATAATTATGGGAAAATGACACTTTTTCCCCCTAAGTTATATCATTATAGCACTTTTTCCCCCTCAATTATTTATGTAAGCACATTAGCCCCCTCAATTATTTTAAAAGTAGTGGTTTTCCCCCCTGATATATTAAATTGACATTTCTACCCTTAAAGTAAACATTTTATTTATTTTACTTCTCCAACCAATCATTGCGTATATGTAGCGATGACCACGGTTTGGTTCATACTGAACCGGACACTAGCAATCGAATTAAAAGTTTTCGGTTATGATTCAGATCTAGAACCCAATATTTGAATTTCAATTTATTAAATTTATGAATAAAAAAAACTGGATCCTGAATCGTGAACCGACGGTTCCAGATCCGGTTCGCGATTTTGAACCGTCTTTATTTTAAAATTTTATTTTCTATTTTAAAATAGTCTAAATTCAATAATAAATGTATTTTATTTTTTCAGTTCGGAACATGAACCGGCCATTCTGATTCGCGATTTTAATAAACTCTAAATATCGTGTTTTGATTCTAAATTGTAATTGGAATATTTTGGTTTGGTTGCTATAGTATCTGTTTGGTTTGAACCAAATTATAGTAATAATTTGTTGGAGAAGAAAAATAAATGAAATATTTATTTTAAATATTTATTTTAAGGGTAATATGTCCATTTAACATTTCAGGAGGAAAAAGAGCCACTTAAATAATTGAGGGGGAAAAAGTGCTATAAGCATACAACTCAAGGGAAAAAAGCACCATTTTCCCTATAATTATTTTGTGGCCATTATCTCATATACTCCTTATTTAGTGTCTCACTACCCCTTTATTTAGGGAGATAAGTATCTAAAAACATAATAAGTTTCAATCTAGGTTATACCCCTGGTTTATGTCCCTTTTTTCTGTTAATATTTTTTGTACCTTATGCTATAAAAGTTGTACTACATAATTTTTTGGACAAAAACATCCTTGTGTTATAACTTCTGTTATCTTTCCACATTGTTATTACCATGTACATGCATACATAATATTTTTTCTTACATCCTTCAATTGGTAAGTTTGAATTCATTTAGGTTTTAATTAAAATGTTACCATAGTTATATTTAGTAATTTATCATTTCTATAATTCTTACCTCAATAATATTAATATGAATTATACAATTATATATATATATATATATATATATATATATATATATTCACACACACACTATTATTTAAAAAAAATTAATATAACTAAGATTTTTATATTTAATTTTAATATTGGGCATATATTTTTTGCGCATCGCGCATATAAAATACTAGTAGTTATTATAGAATGTATAAATTTGTTCAGTTATCAATGAAAATTGGTCATTGAGTTATTGAATTGATATTATTCTTCTCTCTTTTTCTTCTCTCCATACGATTTTGAGCATTGTTTTTCGCATACGATTACACAACATTCACATGATGATACGCTAGAATTTACATCATATTATAGCACGAGTGCTCTTCATCCTCGTGAACGAATGATGCTATCCATCAATCAACGATCTATTCATCGGAGGATAATCGGGATCTTGGTGCTGCATTACCGTAGGACATGGTGGCTGCTATCTTCTCTCTCTCGCCTCTTAGCGATCTGGTTGTTCGTTCTCACATATTTGGTCATCATATCGCTGCTCACAACAATGGTCATCATTCGGAGATGCAAAGCTTTGCGTTCGACGGAGATCAGGGGCAGCGCCGATGGTGCGACTTTGGCAGAGATGGTGCTCTATACTCTTTAGTCTGGACGTGGATTGTAAACATACTAGCATCAACGTGGCTGTGAAGAACGCCGGCGCGGCGCTAGTGTGACGTTCCAGAATACCTCCATTGCCGTCTGTCAACCGGCCGCTGTGACAGAACAGGTTTAATTTTATAAACAATAATGATGCCGTCAACGATGGGTTTTAGTGAGTTGTGTTGAACTGCTGGTCTGCTGCAGACGGTTACGGTGGCATGCAGTATTGACTTCATATTAATTAATTTTTGGCGTTGGTGCTGGATGGCTATGGCCTATGGGCCCCGGGGTTGATGGATTTTTTTACTCCTGAAGTTAATTGATTTTTTTGCTCCTGAAGTTGATGGAGGATGATCCCATGCTCTTGCTCATGCTCATGCTGCTGCCGTGAGAAAGAAACTAAATTATAGTAGTGTGAGTGTGAGGCAAAGCACGTATCATTATGGGGGTCCATTTTCTTATCAGCCAATGGAACTATTGCAATATCAACAAGAAAATATTCACTTTCGAATGAGATCATTCTTGGAATATGTGTTCTCACTCATGTTCCATTCTTTCACACAAGAGAACTCTACACAAGCAACATATTAAAAAATCTCTATTAAAGTAGTGAATTTCTAGTTTTGCACCATCCAAAAAGGCCTGTGATTTTTACTTTTTGGTTTCCACGTAAAAATATTGTGTCTCTCTTTCTTGTTCAATTCATTTCTACTATTTCTATTTTATTTTCACTCAATCGGTTATGTTGGCCCGCCGAGTGACTCCTGCCCTCCTCCAAGACGTGTCTCATAATCGCCTTTAATCCTCATTAATTACGCGTTCGTGGCTCGTTTCAAAGGATTGTCTAGGCTTTTCATCTCCCGACTCCTCTTATCGCTCGGTCTTAGCTCGCCACTCTACTCGGTTCGTCATGACTGACTAACCCTCTCTCCCGGCTTCTTTATCCGCTCGATCAGCACGGTTGACTAAGTGACGACTCCTTTTAGAGGACTACGGTCAACCTAACCAACTCCTATCCAGGCACCTTTTGTACACTCATTTTCCAAAGAAGCACGGTAGATTGAGTGCCGACACCGACCTTTTTACAGGACTCCAGCCAACCTTACCGACTCTCATCCTTCTCACGTGATTAATTCCTTCGCAGATTTCTATACTCTTGGATTCGAGGAAAAGGACAAGTCCTTATTGGTCTTGTCAACGCACCTGATGTACATCACCCATAACTCCAGTCACTATTTGGGTCTTGATTGGTCTTGTCAGCATTCCTGATGTGCAGCACCCATAACTCCAGGCACAATTTTGGTATTGATTGGTCTTGTTAACGCTCTTCATGTGCATCGCACATAACTCTAAGCACAATTATTTGCCTATAAATAGAGCCAAGAACCAACGGATCTAGGTTGAGTTTTTCTTTGGTCTTGCTTTGCAGGAGCCATGGACTTGAAGGAAGGTGGCAAGAACATCGGGACACGCTTTTCTAAGCGTCTCGCCGAGCAGGCTAGACTTGAAAAGCAAAGGAAGCGGATAGCCGCCCAAGGTAGCAATGAGGTTGGAGGCTCCTCAAATGACCCCCTGATGGTTTCCTCTTAGGAAGAAGAAGCGACAACAACACATCAGATTAAGAAGATGAACAAAGTAAGAGGGGTCCGGCTCCACACCCCGATTACTTGCGGTTCCTAGATGAAATGTACGAGATGATCGAGCGGAACTCACCAACTAATGCTTCTCCAGCGGTCAGGTGCTATTGGGATGAAGTGCGTGTCTCCCCGCCATCTGAAGCTCCTGCACCCATTCTGCCAGAGGCACCAATCAAAGCAAGCAATTGTACCCCCCGCACCTCGAAGAAGAAGAAATGAGGTGCGAAGTTTGGTGTAATCTTCAGATTTGTACGGGGTGTATGATGACATAAACAAAATATTTCTCCCCTGGATTTCCCCTAACTCTTTTTGTACACTCCTTTTACCAGGAGGCACGGTTGACCGAGTGCCGACTCCATTTACAAGACTCCGACCAACTTATTCGACTCCCATCCTTACACCTTTTGTACACTCCTTTTACAAGGAGGCACGGTTGACCGAGTGCCGACTCCTTTTACAAGATTTCGGTCAACCTAACCTGTAACACCCCGTGTTATGGCCTCTAACCCAGACTAATTATTTAATTGCTTACCATTAAAATAGGTTTAAATTCCCTTAATTAATTAAGAAGGGGTCCACCATGGACCATGGACCCTTATTTCTAAACCAAAACCTTAGTCCTATAAAGAATAGAATAAGTGAATTCTCACCTTTCAGACCTTAGTTAGGACTCTTAAGTATATATAAGGACCTAGGAGGCACCTAGAAATCCCACCACAATAGATTCCACCACACAAGAATTCCCAAGAATTTTCCTATCGCCAAACGTAGGAGAAATCACGAAGAGGAGATCTTAGAGAAAGAACCTTAGTAGCCAAGGATTCTAATTAAGGCTAAGAGGTAACCCATGTCCCAACAAAACCTATTTTCCTTGCTATAATCTTCTTCATTGGCTCCTTTGATATATGATTCTGTGCTCGAGTCTTGATAAGGCCTTGCCTGAGATTTATATGATGTTGATAAGATAATCTTGATGTTTATGTGTTAATCTTGATGCTTATGTGATAATCTTGATGTTCTTGATTCTATGACAAATTATATAAATGATCTTGTGTTTTAATTATGACTCGAGCCCTAGGGTTATAACGTGGATTTCGTATTGTGTTATTCTTGGTAAGTTTGGGTGGGATTTTGCATGTTCGGGTGTTGAGTCTTGGCATGTTTAGGAGTCGTGTTAGGATGTATTTGGTGTGGTTCTTGGTTTAAATCCGTTACTTGATTACGTGGTGTCGTCGTTTGTGTTTGAATGTGTCTGGACATGGTTTCGGGTTCCACAAGGGATCCCGGGACCAATTTATTATATAGGAATCAGTGGGGGGGGGGGTAGGTGGGGGCAGGGGTACCCGCCACCTATCCGCTGCCCAACGTCGTCTTCCCAGCGGGCAGCCGGCGGGCAGGCGACTGCTCGCCGGGCACCCGCTGCCTTCTAGTTCACCGCCGGCGGCTGGCCCTCCACCCGCCGGCCACCTGCTGGAACTTCGGTACGAATCATGGTGTTTTTCCCCGTTTAATGTTTCCCCGTGTCTCGTTGTACCCCGTTTATCGCATATGAGTCTAGTTGATGTATCGGGTACCATTCTTAGGATAAAAGAGTCTTGTGTATTGCATGCTAGTCGAATTGGTATCCCATTGGCCTAGGAAGAAGGTGCATGACCCCTTAGGCGTGTCTCGAGTAGTTTAATGTGGTTGGCCACGCATAAGTTATATTAGGATAAGTGTTCCCCAATGATTCCCCCTCCTTATGTGTTAATGTGGGTTGCATGTGCTTGGCTTATGTGTTAATTGTGCATGATACCCCAATTGGTTGCGATCAATTGGCTATACGGGCAGTTGGATGGGTTGAGAACCATCGGCTGTTATATATATATATATATATATATATATATATATATATATATATATATATATATATATATATATAGGGCTGCGGTCCATAATCTGGTTGCGATCAGATATACATAATCATCGAGCTACGGTCCACCGTTTGGTTGCAATCAAACGTTATGATATAATGAGCTGCGGTTTATCGATTGGTTGCGATCAGTCTCTTGTGCTGCGGTACAGGCAGGGTACTTCGGGGCCATGTCAGAGCTATATGCACTGGCACTTCATGTATGGGCATGTGAAGGGTCATGCGGCACCACCAAATGTGTAAACGTGATTTATTCATTGTGGTTGAAATAGTGATTGAATAACTGATATGATTGATATGGAATAGTCTTGTGACCTTAGGGTGCATGCTAGAATCCTTATGTGTGTGATTAATGTGCCTACCTTTGCTTGATTGAGTCTATCATCGGTTTTAAATTAGAGTTCCATAAGTATATGTTGGTCCCAAAAGGGTGGCGAGAAGTCTAGAGGGGGGGGGGGGGGGTGAATAGACTTCTCTAACTTTTCAAACTTCTTTAGCAAACAACACTTTGTAACTTCAACTCTAAGTAACAAGCATAAACAAGTATAACAACTTAGAGTGTGCACAGCAGAATTGTAACGGCAAAGTGTTACGCTTTAAATTGTGTCGTGCTCAAGAGAGATTTTATACATGCATCACGTTAGAAACACTTGATATAGATGTAGGATGATGTATATAAAATTTCACTTGCATGCAAACGAGGGAACTATCAAACCCAGACAGATAAAGATACGCAATAAACCGTAACAGGTTAGTTCGCAGATAATATAAGCATGCACGAAATATATATGAGCAGTAAGTAAATAGAGAGAGAGATTTATAGTGGTTCAGAGGTGGTGTAATCCTCCTAGTCCACTCTTCTCCTTTCACTTCAAGGAGGAAATTCACTATTCTTCGATCACCCAGATACAATAGTGAATAAGTGCCCAGCGACACTTCTCCGAGTGCTTCGCACAAAGCTACACTCCACCAAGGTTTTTCGCAAGCTCCTCTTGTTACTCCGCCTTCCCGAGTAATTCGCACCAAGTTGTACTCCTACACCACGAGAACTACGCACAAAGCTACGCTCTCACCGGGTTTTCACAAGCTCCCCTTGTTACTCTGCCCGTTACAACCGAGTGCTACGCACAAAGCTACACTCCAACTGGGTTTTTCACTCTCTCCAGTTACTCTACCCCTTTTCTACACTCAGTAGAAGATTTACAATGAAATACAATTTTTCTCTCACTCAGACTTGAAATTAATCGTGTATAGCTCAATATATTGCTTCTTGGCTGATTTGAATATTGCTTGCTTTTCTCTTTGTTTTTCAGCCGTATTCAAGTCGTTATTGTCTTCAAGTCTGCTTGGGCATTTTATAGCAGATGAAAGCTATTTGCCCGTTGATCAACTTTCGATCTTGATCGTCCAATTTGAAATGTAGTTGATCAAGTAATTTTGCCAACTTGGTCTGTAAAAATCATTTCGCCGTCTGTCAGAAGATTTAAATAAATTTGCCGTTGCTCCTCTTTAATCTGACAAAGATTTTTCCTTGGCATGGGTAGCCTCCAAATTTGAATTTCTCTGGCATGACTTTTGTTGAATTATTGATCTGATGTGCCAAGTTGATCAAATAATTTATCTGCTGATTCTTGCTTAAGTAATAAAAAGATCTCCTTCGTATATCAGCTTCTTCTTCTTCTTCTTCGACTTCTTCTGCAGAAACAGAGCTTCAAAAAAAATGTTTCTGTCTAATTCTATCATGATGTCATAGCTCCTTTTGATGAAGTCATGTCCCAATAGTATATCATGTTCCACCTTGTATCATGGACTATATATCATGTTCCACCTTGTATCATGGACCATATATATCATGTTCCATTTCATATCATGAGCTAGCTATCATGTTCCACCTTGTATCATGGACCATGTATATCATGTTCCACCTTGTATCATGGACCATGTATCACGTTCCACTGTATATCATGAATTCATAAAATTACTTCAGATGGGAATCGAACTGTAGTTCGACCATTTGCTTTGCTTGGCAAGGATTCTTCCATCTCAGCTGGGTATCCAATGAATAAAATTCAAGACTTAAATTCTTTTGACTTATCTCTCCCACGTGTTCTCCACTAGCTTTATCACATTGTGATGTCATTACCCGATAGTCTTGACGTCATCATCCGATAATTCTCAACTATCATGATAAAAATTGTTCATTCATGATAGTATTACCTGATATTACTATCATGATGACATCATCTCCTGATATTGCTACTTCACGATAGCAATTCATCTTTACACTAAAGTTACTTCTAATGAGAATCAAACTGTGAATCATCTCACATTAAGCATGCTTCAACAAGTCTTCTACCGTCTCGTCCATCTCAACCTTTGGTGACTTGATGCTTCATAAATGTGTTAAGCTATGATCCCGCTTTCATTTATTCTTCCTTCAAACTACTTTTACGTAGACTTCATGTAGGCTTCATGGCAGTGGTGCACTATACTTTGTGAACCAGAACTGACTCAAATAAAATAAAATTGGGGTCTACAAAATACATTTGGCTCATCAAAACTTATACAATATATTCCTAAAAATTTTCCCCTTTTTGATGATGCCGAAACCTATACCCAAGTCATTTGGCTATGCCAAATTTTTGAAAAAATAATCTTTTTGTCCAATTTTATTGCGACTAGCCATTTGACGGGTTTAACACATTTAAGACCTAGAGATTTTAATTTTGGACGGTCCTAAACGTATATTGTGACTATAACGCGGGGTTGCGTATTGAATTTTATCTTCCCCCTTTCAATTTTATTTTCTCAATTATACGCCTCACATGCAATTACTAAGTGCAATTTAAAATCTTGAGACTTTAAAGCAATAAACATACTAGACACAATAAAGAAATAACCATATGCTAGCAAATTATATTATGTACCAAAAGGCATTGATGGTTTTTGGGTTTTCGGGCCCAAGGAGGTCCAACACAACCTTTCAGCTGGAGGATACACCTTTCAATAAAGCTTGCTAAAATAATATGGGCTCGATGATTTTGACGTGGAAACCGAAAGGAAAACCACGGGCCTTTTTGGGCGGTGCCAAGCCTAACTCCACTCTTTATTTTGTAGGTGTCTTGGTACATACTTGTAGGGCTATATCTATACAAAGTGTTGTGCTTCTAATAATATAGCAAGAATAATAGAAAGAAGAATGATGGAATGGTGTGGAAGAGTCCTTCCATGTGTATAGAGTGAGTGGATGGAGTCTTCTTGAGAGAGTCTTTGTGGAAGAGTGATATGTGATCTTCTAGCATGTAAGGAATAGTGCTTGGGAGAGTCCTCCCATGTAGATGAATGAGTGAATGGATCCTCCCCCTTTCTTCTTGTTTTCTCCTCCTTTTATAGCTAGTTCATCCCAAAAAGTGTCCGTTGGACCATTTAGTAGGGGATTTATGAGTGGTTTCAAGAGGGTAGTGA